TTAATATAAAATATATGTGTTGCTTTTAGTACTGTTTTTCTCCTGTGTATCATACTTTCCCTGTTAACAATAGCCATGCAGATCATCTGTGTTTAGAGAAAATTTTTTGATTTTAAATGACATGACTTTAGGAGGAAACAGAAGTTGCCTTATAGTTAATCCAGGTCATTTGACCGTACACTTTCCATACCTCGTTTTAACTTTCATTTATCTAATACCTTTTTCGAGATTAACAGAGAAAAACTGGCAGTGAGACGACATAGGAATTCTGTCTACAACTTTTTCAAATTGCAGCCCAACAACACGCACGATTCTATTAATTCCCGTTGAATCAATTTATAAATTACAGAAATAAAAAAAATTGACAATCTACACAATGTAAAGATTCAAAAATCTATTAAGAAGTCTTCAAAAAAAACTATGCAAATATATAAAAAAAATTACAAGTTGACCATTAGCCGAAGGAAGCAATGGGCATTTTTTAAAATTACTGTTTCAAACTGGTAAGCACGGAGAGAAAATTCTTATCAAATCCATCGCGATTTCGGCCATGCTCAACTTAAGAGGATTGAGGAATAAGACATTAGCTACGGACAATTATAGCTCTCGCTCGCACCACAGGCACACACACACACTACAGAAAATAAAGTTAGGTTGATCTGGAAATATAGTATATACTGTACTGTACATATTTATTTGTATAATCGCCAGTTTTATTGAGGCACAAAAATGTATAATAAAAATAATTTAGTTATATATCAGAAATTGATTGTACATTCTTTATGTTTGCATATATATATTTCATATGTTTCATTCTGTAGTCACGTTTCCGCTCTGAGAGCAGTGGAAGAACCCTTTTTAAGGGGTCGAAGATGAATGGTCGAGACGGTAGCCCATCGAATGTGTGTTAGCAACTCTTCAGTAATTTTTCATAGACATTCTGTCGCGATTGTGTTGGGACACGATCCTTATCATCCGGCAGCCCAATCTTCCGATGTGCGTGAAAAAAAAACACTAAGTACCCATAAAAATGGAATGAGACAAATATTAAATTTCTAGTATATTACAAATCAATAATTCAGATTAAATTTCCGATAACTTTTTTCATTGATTTAACTCAGATATTAGTTTTATTACTATATATTTAAAACATTAAATCATACATACATAGTCTCATAAATCCGCAAACATATTGTAACTATAATATATTGACATATGTATTAAAGTCACATTTCACATATAAAAGTCATTAAAGTTTGAGATTTATTTTATAATATTTAAACGAATAAAGTATACTTTTCATGTCATAAAAATTGCAAATTTCGCAGATTTTTTCGTTTATATAAAAAATATTTTATGAAAATAGTTAAAAATTTCGCCAAATATTCCGCAATCTTCATGCATACATTTACGGACGAATGCCCTAAAATAAACAATTATTAAATGAAATTTAAAATAAATAAACATAATCCTTACATGAAAATAAATATACTAATGTTATAAAATGTATAAATATGTTAAAATAGAAAATTACACATACCATAAAAATATAATTATCGATTTGTTCCAGACTTGGATAGTCAACTTCAATGTCAACTTCAACAATTTCTAAAAATCTACGAGTTATTTCTAGTACTTCAATTAGATGATTTTGAAAGAGTAAAGTTTTCATTTTATAGGGATCAATGAACCTACAATTACTCTTCAAGACGTCGTGACAATGTAAGGATTCAACCATTATTTGCATCACTGTAACTCTGCAGAATATTGCCTTTTCAATGCAATTTAAAATATTAATAATTATAAATTCTAAATATTTAAGAAGAACAGAAATACAATGAAATTTACTTCAAATTCTTCATTTCTTGTTAGATGCAACCCTCTTGAATAATATGATGCGAAATCACGCATTATGTTCGCTTCATAATTAATATCACTGAACTGCAAAAAAAAAATTATATGAAATATGTCAACAAATAAACCTCGATTGTAATGTAATATTTTAAATACAGTACAGTATATATGATCATGTATAAATTACACTTCGCCATTTCTTTATTACATGTTATTGTACAACTTGATTTATTTGCACACAGCATACAAACGTGAGGTGGATGCCTGTCAGGATAGCTTTCTATGAAAAACTACCCATTTATGTGTTACAAATGTGAATAAAACCCAGAATAAAACATGGACGAAGGGGTGTTTATGTATCTTTAACTTTCTCAGTTTGCTAGCCTGGCTGAAGAAAGTATCAAAAGTCTCGAGATTCACTCCAACTTCTTGCTGTACAATAAGATTCAATATAAGTGCATTCTATTTTAATACTTATGTACTGTATTTTAAATATAAAGAGTTGACAGACTTTTTATAACAGTTAGTAACTTACCGTAATTGTCATCCGATAAAATTCTACTATTTTATAAAAATTAATTTGAAGACACAGTCTGTTTAAACTAAGAACCGCCGTTTAGTATTCCAGAATAAAAACATTTACAACATCAAAAAGCAACCTAAAAACAAAGGTCAGGTCGTCAAACGTTTGTATTGTAGAAAACTAGAAGGAAATAAACGGCGATTCCTGTTTAGACAGACTGTGTCTTTAAATTAATTTTCACAACTTACCGTAACATCTCTCGCTCTTAGCACTGTTCTACGTAAATGAGGAATCACATCTTTCGTATACCATCGATTTTCGTACCTTCCATACATTTTAGGTATTAATTCAGCCTTATTATACAACATTTTTAAATGACAATATTTACATCCAAATCCATCTGGATTCACGTCCGTATTACATAANTTACAAATGTGAATAAAACCCAGAATAAAACATGGACGAAGGGGTGTTTATGTATCTTTAACTTCCTCAGTTTGCTAGTCTGGCTGAAGAAAGTATCAAAAGTCTCGAGATTCACTCCAACTTCTTGCTGTACAATAAGATTCCATACAGGTGCATTCTATTTTAATACGTATGTACTATATTTTAAATATTAAGAGTTGACAGACTTTTTATAACAGTTAATAACTTACCGTAATTGTCATCCGATAAAATTCTACTATTTTATAAAAATCAATTTGAAGACAGAGTCTGTTTAAACTGACACCGCCGTTTAGTATTCTAGAATAAAAACATTTACAACATCAAAAAGCAACCTAAAAACAAAGGTCAGGTCGTCAAACGTTTGTATTGTAGAACACTAGAAGAAATAAACGGCGGTTCCTGTTCAGACAGACTGTGTCTTCAAATTAATTTTCACAACTTACCGTAACATCTCTCGCGGTTACTACTGTTCTACGTAAATGAGGAATCACATCTTTCGTATACCATCGATTTTCGTACCTTCCATACATTTTAGGTTTTAATTCAGCCCTTTTATACAACATTTCTAAATGACAATATTTACATCCAAATCCATCTGGATTCACGTCCGTATTACATAAGCCATCCATGTTATTACAAACGTATTCTTGTCTCTCTCTAATACTGCTTATAAAAAACTCTATGCAATTTTTGCAGGCAGGACCTCCATAATAGTCTGTCCACGCTTGACGTTTTCCACATACACAGACTGACATGATATTTTTACCTGCAATACATTCATTAGTTTTAGTTTCTTTACAATAATTCATTTTTTAAGAGCTTTAACAGTAGACCCCACTATAACACTGTTGATAATTCCGTGTTATATGAATTCCATTTTGTACGAATCACTTTGATTTTACAAATATTGCGTGTCGGGCTCTGAACGGGTCACGTATTTGTAAAACCTAAGTGACTCGTACTAAATGGAATTCATATAACAAGGAGTTATCAACAGTGTCATAGGGGGGCCTACTGTATTAATCTATAGATATATATAAAAATAGACGTGTATGTCCCTATATTTCACTTTTTCGCCAAAACTACACATCGCACGTGAATAGTGTTTGTATGTGATAATAGCCTCAAATCTCCATTCGTGCATAGGGGTGGTTGCGTCTCGATAGCTATAAAGTTGCGGAAGATATGGGCTTCAAAGAGTTTGAAAGTGGCTTTCTATTTGGATGTTTTGTTCGAATTCGTTCGAATTAAATTCGAACATAAAATTCGAATATTGATTCGATTATAGAACGATTGTAAACGTTTCAGAAACGTTGAAAATTGTTCGTTTGACTTGACGTAAACAGTACACGTTCAAAAATAGAATCGGGACCAGGTCTCTAATTAGTCTATAAACGGGGAACCTAATTCTTGCATTTTGTGAAAACGGGTAAGATTGGCTATAATGTAATTATCTTAATCTTCACTATCGTTACTTTTTAAAAAGCCAGCGAAGCGGTTCCTTGCAGCTAGTCTATATATAAAACTAAAACACATAGTAACTCATCATTAATATTATACTTTATACTCTACTTTACGAATGTAAATTAATGTTAAAATTAATAAAAATCAAAATAAATTATCGACGTTACCTCTAATAAATCTAAAATTTTCTATTTGTTCTATAGTTGCCATGATCGTAGATTATTTAAAAGATTAAAATACAATCAAATTCGATGAGCAAAAAATGTAAATTAAAACTTGAATTTTTACTCTTATATTGTGTTTAAGTGATTTGCATAATACTCACGTGTTATTACGAACTTTCACTCGATTTATCTAATTATTATNACTCACGTTTGTATTACATAAACCATTCATATTATCACAAACGTATTCTTGTCTCTCTCTAATACTGCTTATAAAAAACTCTATGCAATTTTTGCAGGCAGGACCTCCATAATAGTCTGTCCACGCTTGACGTTTTCCACATACACAGACTGACATTATATTTCTACCTGCAAGACATTCATTACTTTTAGTTTCTTTACAATAAGTCGTTTCTCAAAAGCTTTTACAGTAGACCCACCTATAACACTGTTGATAATTCCGTGTTATATGAATTTCATTTTGTACGAGTCGGTTACATTTTACAAATATTGTGTGTCGGGCTGTGAACGACTCACGTATTTGTAAAATGTAAGTTACACAAAATTATATTACACAAAATTATCAACAGTGTTTTAGGTGGCCTACTGTATTAATCTATATATAAAACTAAAACAGATAATAACTCACCATTAATATTATACTTTATACTCTACTTTACGAATGTAAATTAATGTTAAAATTAATAAAAATCAAAATAAATTATCGACGTTACCTCTAATAAATCTAAAATTTTCTATTTGTTCTATAGTTGCCATGATCGTAGATTATTTAAAAGATTAAAATACAATCAAATTCGATGAGCAAAAAATGTAAATTAAAACTTGAATTTTTACTCTTATATTGTGTTTAAGTGATTTGCATAATACTCACGTGTTATTACGAACTTTCACTCGATTTATCTAATTATTATATAATTAAAGATGTTAGTAATACAGAAAAATATTTATTAATTTTTACTCAAATATTTAATGATCTTAATAGTATTTTAGCAATTAACGGGATGTGATTACAACAATTGCAATTTACGTTTACAGGTTTATCTTTATTATTATTAATAGAGAGGTTGAGGTACAAATTCACACTTGGCAGTTACGTATAAATACTTCTTACTTAGTTAATGTTAAACTTTTCTTGTTTATTACGAAAATCGGATAGTAACAAAGAGATGAATTTCGTGATACGGAATAAAACGTCATTGCTGTATCACGTGACGGCTCCAATCTTTATTATATATGCACCCCAGATTCAAATTCCAGTGAATTTTTCCGTATAGAAAAACTTTGCAACTGAACTTTTTATATAGAAAATTAAAATTTATGGACAAAAGCATGCGCATCAAATTTGATTTATTTTAATTGTCCGCCCGGTAAGACAAACTGGTGCAATGATTCGTCAAAATCATTCTCTTTATAAAGAAAGACACGGAAATTACGAAATTGGCCGCAAAATGCAAATTTATAACATTAAATCGAGTCACTAAGCAACAATAAAATTTTCAGGTTGTTGAGAGAGAATCTATTGTTGACTCGTGCGATTGTTTAATGTGAGTGCTTTTTCTAGTTTTGCTTCGTTTGCAGCGGTTGTTTAAAGTGATGTAAGTTTACACTATGATCTTTGTACATTTAAATACTTTTTAACTTTGATGAGCAAAATATCACAGTTGGCGGCGATGGGTTTCGATAAGAATTGATCGGTTTCCTTCGGAGGATTCGCATCTTTCCATTGTTAAAGCAAAATAAACATTAATAAATAGCCTACTTTAAAATCTGTTATTCCCCGCTATAGTTTATAAATTTCATACGTATATATATTAATATCCCGTATGAAATTCGTTTGAATCTTAATTAATTAAAATAATTCCTATATTTTCGCTGTTGTTTTGTGTTATGGCAGTCAACAGAATAGTACAATTTTTGTAAACTAATTCCTCTATCGAACATTAAAAATTGTCGAAAAGATTTAAATTATTATATATATAATATTCTTTTCTAACAGGAATTAATCATTTTTGCATTAAAAATTTACAATTCAGATTCAAATAGGAATATTTGTCAATAAATCGTCTAATTATCTTTTGAAGAATGGAGAATTTCAGAGAGTTAAAGAAGTTGCCATCTCGGACAATGCAGAATCCGAGGATGACGCCTGGTCTTGGCCAGGTGTCATGAGTGCTTCCGACAGATGCGCAGGAGAAGCGTCATACACCGGACGTCAAACAAGTAGTGTTCGTAACTCCGGACGAAACCGCCTCGTCTCTCGTCTAATATCTAGAGGGGCGATATCCGGAGGTTCCGGAATGGACGGTGGAGACCGAAAGGAGTCCGAAAATGTGGTGGAAGAGTCTGTCGAGCGTAAAAGGCCTTGGTGGAAACGGATGTTTCTCTGCTGGAAGATATAAACCTCTTATCTGGCCAGGCCTTTTTGCACAGATTTCGACTTTTCACCGAATGTAACACATCGGCACTCGAAAGTGACCTTTCACCCGAATATGGCACTTACCAGGAATTGACCTTTCACCCGGCTACGACTTAATTTACGGCACTTGACTTTCCATCCCAATTTACGGACCGATCCTTCGACACCATTCGAGATTCGGTTAAGAGCATATAGAACAACGACAGTGACGTAAAGTAGTGTTTTCGTGTTTAATTAAAGGCTGTTTAAACGACTATAACTAGCCAAAACAACTTATATTATACAGACTTTTACACTGTATTTTATTTGGTGTTCTGCTGCTAAAAAGTTTCACCGCGAAATAACGAATATTTGCCACTAAAATGCATACCAGACGAATTTAAATAAACCAAAAAATACACGTACTCGGTTTGTGTACTCCACAATCATAATTACTTCAACAATTAAATTTGTACATAAATTTTTATATTCAATAAAAGTAATTAAATTCTATATTAAATGTTTACAGATTCGATATTTATTAAAGCTGCGCATCATTTGATGAATTTATAATTAATAATAGTGTTTCTAACAGTTATGACAGATGACGAAAACAGAAAACATGTGCCCAATTCATAACGAAAGAAAAATATTTAAATTTAATGAGCCAAATATAATTTTAAACAGTTGGAAGTTTGTACCAAAACAATGCCATGAAAAATGGAATTTCATAAAAATAAAAGACAAGTTTTACGAAATATTTAGTCCCAACGACCCTTATATAGTTTAATACCTTTCGTAGTGGGGCTATAGCGCATTAATTCCGAATCTGAAGGAGAAGGTGCGCTCGGAACTTTTGCCGGGAATGGCAGGAAAAACCGACATGACTAACCTATCGTAAAGATCGGGTTTGATCAAATAATCTAGAAGCAATCCTACAAATACCATTACGAAACTTACAGTAAGGGAGACAATGGATACAATCATGTGAACTTCTAATGCCATGTTGATCTTTCTGGAAATAAATAAAGAAATAACCTAAATATACTACATTTAAAACAAAAAAATTAAAATGTTTTTCTATACGCAATAGTTGGATAAGGCAATGTAATACATGAGTGATCTATCAATGGGTATTGCGTGCCAGGACTTTCTATAGGAGACTAGCCTTTATTTTGGTATTAGACAAGTGAAACCCGGAAAACTGCACGTGGTAAGGTGCGACCGCAAACTGAATGAAAAAGTTTGTGGAGAAATTTTTAATATCTCTTACACGGTGGCATCTGCCTCCACATGCCTCAAAATATAGATCGATTGCGTTTAAATGCCGATACTTGCTTTGATAAAAACATACAGCATTTTTTACATTTTGCATTTTTATGCATTGATGGAGTTATTTTTTCACGAAAATGTCGAACAAATTTTTTTATTGAAGTGTTTATATTCAACTTAGGCATTCGCCTTTCTCTTTTCATAATTTTTTTTTTCATTATATGATCTCGAGCCAAAACTTTTCGCTAGCCACTATATAAAGGCTAGAATTAAAAATTTAATTTTTAATTCAGACGAATTTTGTAAATAACTGACGGATTTACTGCTAAATTGAAGTTAGCATAACGATTTAAGTGCTTTTAGAGAAGTTATGTGCTCGTGACTATCGAGTGATTGTGGTGTAGTTATCACATCCGCTTCACACGCGGAAGGTCCCAGGTTCGAAACCTGGCAAGCACAGCTTTGCTCGATGGACATGCGGCATCTTATTATGCAACTGTGCTTTGGGGTGACGTTTGTATCTGTTACAGATCACGTGTTTCGATGAGGTTCGAAAATAGTGCATAATTAAAAACGGAAATGTGTATTTATTAAATTAACTTATCGATAAAACAAGCAACATAAGTGTCGAAACAGTTACATCGTCGTTCATATAGAATTGAGGAAAAAAATACTTAGAATGTAAAAAGGAAATTATTTAAAACGCGATAAGAAAAAGGGAGCGATGAGACGCAATATGATCGCGGGTGTCTAAGTCATCGACGAATAGCCATCAGAATCGAGAGGATGATGTCGGATAAATCGTCCAGGGCAAATCTTTTTCGCGACCTAACTTGGTCTCAAATTCTACCTCGAGACTGATAAGAGACCAATCGTGGAGCGAGGAAGGGAAGGCCCAACCAATCGGAAATAAAATTGAGAACGTCACGTTGAGGTTATCACGTCCGGTTTTTCACGCGGAAGGTCACAAATTCGAAACCCAGCAGACACACGCTTGTTTTTTGTTTGTGCCCTACGCCACACCTTCTTTTATTAATTTTTGTTTTTTTCGTCGCTTTTTAACGTGTTCGTTTTCCTCATTCGAAAGTCTTGCTTTTTTTCTTTGTATGGATTTTGCCCACGCTTAAGCACAATGCGAAAAAGAGTCATACCCAAAGGACACGATCGTTACAATACGCGTATGTTAACTCGTTCGTTTACGTTCGGAAACAATATTAAATATTATTCAACGTTTAAAGTATATCCAAGGAATATCCCTAGCCAAGACAAGGCAAAATATGGTGATGTGTCGAAGTACGTTTAATGGTTGGTGGACAACACGTGGATTCACGAAGAAAAATCTACAGACCATCATTTGTATGGCACCAATTGTGACAATATAGGGTACCATAAATTATCAGTAGCGAATTGTCATGGTGAACATATTTACAAAGATACAAGTTTAATTAATTATTCTTTGGGAATTTCTTCATAATTTCTTTTATTTCTTAAAATTATTGTTTTTCTTAATAATCTTAATAATAGATATTTTAATATTTTTAAAATTTGTAAAATGTTTTAATAAATATTATTACTAAACATATTCGAGTTATTCATTAAATATGCAGTAAATTTGAAAGCAAAAGGACAGCGTGCTGCTTTTAGTCAGAAGGACACATTTTATTTCTAGAAAAATACATTAAATTCGAAGATTGTATTGAGTGTTAAGCAAGTGGATATTTTCGACATTTCCGTACAAATCGTACAGATTATATTGGGATAAGTATCGTTATTGGAATGAGAAACATAAACCATCGTTTAATAACATTAAATGTGAGTGCGGCTTGCGGCCCTTGGTACCTGCTGTGTTAGGACGTTGGTGGAAGGAAAGAAATGCACCGATCGATTTATTCAATCTGATTTTGCTTGTGTTACTCACTCGTACGCCATCAATTCAAAAATTTCTAAAACGCGTGGAAATGCCCTTTGCAGCAAATAGAGAGAGCATACTTCAAGGGAAAAATCTGCAATGTAATTTGAAACAAAAAAAAAATCGCATGTCACGCGTGGCAACCTGCATTTATCATAATGATGAACGGCGTTGAACGAAATATCTCTAAACGGGTTTTCAAAGAAATCGATAAACATCACCTCAGAG